GAGGGAGAAAACTGTTTAAAAGGGATATGGGATTAGGTATTTTTGTCATGAGAGGAATCTAGAGCGAAGGCTGCATAGTAGAGTGCACCTGGGGGTAGGGTTTGTAAAACAATGAAAGAATTTTTGTTTTACTTTTACAAGAGGGTAGTGTATTAGGGGGAAGGGTTGGGAGGGGAGAAAAGTGCAACAATGAATGAATGGAAATCCAAAGTCTCTGTAAATTTTTGCTGAAATGAATACTAAATTTAAAAGCATAAATAAATATCGTTCCAGAATTAGACTGGAGATGATTGTACAACCTGATGAATAGAGGTAATATCCTCAATTGTATGCTACAAAACGGTGATTTTGGGTGGAGGGGGACTCGCTATCACTATGGGCTGCCAGAGGCGGGGGGCAGGTGTGAGGGCGGGAGTGAAGCTGGGTCACAGCTTTTTAAAAAATTACATTTTAAAATATAATTTCTTTTTAAAATGACAACCCACTACCAAACTGCTTCCTACTCTGTGTGATCTGCTATTTCCTCTCCTGTTTCTTGCCACCTCTTTGATGACTAGAAGCTCCAGGAAGACAGAGCTGGGGTGTTTTCTATCTTAGTTTTGTTTCTGGCCTCTGGGACAGCACTGGAGGTGCAGTGGGTAAATAATACATATTTGTTGGTTGAATGAATGTCTTCTGCTTGTCCCTCAGTCAAACCTGACCCTCCGGTGATCATGCATGTGAGCCAGGTCCCTGAGAATCATCTGCAGGTGCAGTGGTATGCACCTGGATCTTGGCCCCTTCCAGAAACATACAGACTCAAATACCAGCTTCGCTACAAGCGCTGCAAAGCTGGGCACTTCCTGCAGGTGAGGAGCACAAGAGGGAGGGCAAAAGGGAGTCTGGAGTCATACCGGGTATGGCCACCCTGCTATATGGGACATTACATGCGTACTGGGAAAGGTCAGCAGGGCTTCTACGCACGTTGGGGTGAATGGTGTGTAATATAAAGAAATTCAGCCATTACACCCCCAGGAGTACACCCACAATATAAAAATCTACCTCCACACATCGATGGCCCTGCAGCTTTCTTTGTGAGAGCCAAGAGTAGAACCTGCCCAGGGTCCATAAGCAGGTGGTCTGTCTGCAAAGAAGCATGAAGCCCACCCGGTTGTGATTGTTGGTTCCACGGCATCGGTGTTGACTCTTGATGACCCGTGTGTGCTTTCCCGTGCCGCCCTCACCTGCGCCGCTGTGCTTGAACCCAATGGCCAGTCATGGTGTCGTCCACTTCATTGCAGATCTTTCTCGTATTACTGTCTGGGGTTGGTTCTGACACCAGCCCCATCCAGGCCTCGGCCCTCTTCACAATCTGCTCTGCGTCCCCATCCTGGAAGTCACCTGGTTGACCCATCTCACTAAGCGACTCCTCTCTCATTGACTGACATTATTTCACCATCATGAAGTCTTCCTCCAGGGCCTGACCCCTCCTGATAACATCCTCAGAATAATTCTACTCCCAGGAGTGTGTTCAGAATAACCGAAGGACTCAGACACATGCACGAGCGTGTTCAGAAGAGCACGAGTCATGGTGCCTGAGAGGTGGAAACAACCTACTGTCCATTCAGTGGAGAGTGGTTTTACACAGTGTGCTCCATTTATACAGAGGATTGCTATTTGGTGATTAAAAGAAATGAAGTCCTGATACATGCTTGGGCTTGAGACATGATGTCAAGTGAAAACAGCCAGACGCAGAAGACGGATGGCATGCTGTAAAAATCCCTTTATGTGAAATAGCCAGAGTAGGTAAACCCATAAAGAGAGAAAACAGATTACAGTGATAGAGCACAAGAATGTTTCTTTGAGGCCTACGATGTGCTGGACACAAGCCATGGGATTTCAACTAATCCCTATGCATGTGAAAGGTGGACTATGAAAAAGGAAGGCAAAAGCATTGACACCTTTAAACTGGAGTGCTGAAGAAGAATATTGAATACGCCTTTATCGTGACCAAAGCATGAACACATCTGTCTCCAGGGAAGTACAACTCCGATTTTCCTTAGAAGAAAGGATGGTGAGATATCATCACACACACGTGGGGCATGGTATCGGGAAAGGCCGTTCCCTGGAGAAGTCCATCGTACGTGAAAAACAGAGGGTCAGCAATAAAGAAGAAGACACTCATTGACATGGATTGACACAGTGGGTGCAGCAATGGGCTCAAGTACAGCTGAGATGTGTGGGTGAAGGGGGACACTGGACGGTGAATAGGTTAGGAAGGAGAGGCCCAAGTGGAGTGTGTGTGTGTGTGTGTGTGTGTGTGTGTGTGTGTGTGTGTGTGTGTGTGTAATGCTGGTTAGAATGAGGCCAGATCCCATAGAGGGGAGGACAGAAGACTGTCTCATGCTCTGCTGTTCAAATAACCCATCCCCTCTCTTTTCTCAGGTGGGCCCCACTGAAAATACCACTTTAATGATCGAGTCGATGCACCTAAAGGGCAATTATTGCATCCAGGTCAATGCTCAGGATCTCTTGGGCCGTGGGGAGCCAAGCGAATGGAGTC